GTGCAGAGCTCCGGATGCTCTGGGTGGAACGAGCCACCAAAATCAGAATCGTAGATACGTCTTATAAAAGTCGCGCTCGAAGACGGGAAGAGGTGGGCGGTGGATCAGGCCGCCACGCTCCTCTGGATCTCACACAGGGTTTCTATTACCCTGCCGTGTACCCAGAGTCCCCACGCGATGGATGTGGAGTCCTCTTTGGCTTGGGCGGAAACTGCTCAAGCCTCTTATACGGCTAACAGGCCAATCGTTAGCCGCTACGTGTGAATAATTTAGAACTCGCCAATAGTGGGGAACGAATTTGCATACCGGTGGCGGGAACTCTTTTGCACCGTGCATTCCTCTTGCAACATGAGCAATGCACTCTGCAAAAGAAGCTGCAGAAAAGGCGGGAAACTCGTCCCTGCACCGGGGTTTCCTCTGCAACAGGAAACTCTCCCGTGCAATGAAGCTGCAACTTGGCGGGGATAATTCTGGTGCTGAAGCACACACAAAATCATGCCTTTGGGTCATGACATCAACCTCTTCCAGTTTTTAAAAACTATAAGGAAACCAAAGATAAACAGGGCCTGTTAGAAGTTATGACTCTAGGCATCTAATTACAAGAAATCCTGGACATTGCCATTGACCTCAATGATGAGAAAAATCTAAACTGTTATCAATGAAAAGCATACAACAGTGCAGAACATGTCTCATTTTCTTTGCATCTTTTAATTGCAAAGGACCCCAAATAAAATTAGTAAATCCAAACAACGAAACCACTGTCTGCCGGTCTTGCTCTTCTCCCCTCCCTGTGCTCATCAGGCATGATACTTAGGATGATATAAGTTTTCAATCTATCCTTGTAAAAGCTGTAGTAGGAAAATACAGAACATTAATAATATTGTATTGTATACTGAACACACCCTCCCTTCCATAGCATTTCCTTTTGAAATTTTTCTATAATAGAGTGCCTAGGTGAAATCTGAGTCTCGGTTAAGTCAGTGATCACTGTGTTCTTTCTGTCAGAGAATAAGATGTCTGTTTCATTATGTTTGCAGTCTTCACAACTACACATTCTGAGATCCCTGAAGAGCAGGGGAGAAATTGGAGTGTCTGCAAGAGAAGTATTCATGTTTATGCATCTGAGCAGGATCACAAAGGATGCTAATGATTTTAATTCTGCCTTTGTCTCAGTTATGGAGCATTTACAATGAACAGATTAGAACCACCACCTTAGCATTGCAGTCTATGCATCCTTTACTTGAAAGAAACACATCTTGAAAATATAATTTTCATGAAGTAAAATAGATCATTTCTAATGAATTTTCAGGATCCATCTACCTCCTCTAGGAAATGGAAGGCAGTTTACAAACTTTTCACAGTAGAGAAGAACACAGTAGAGAAATGCAAGTGTTCTGAGTTAAACTGTAACATTACTCGTAATAAAACTTAAAGCTTTATCTTCACCACAGAGTCAACTTCAGTTAGCCCAGTTTAGATGAGAGTAGCTACATTGCAAAACAACACTCAAGCAACACAGAAGGTATACTGCATAGTGTGGTTGTGGTGGCAGGTGACAAACTCTGCCATAGACTGTATTCTAACAGGCCAGGCAAGTCATGTTAAACCACAGCCTCCTTGAATTTAGCAAGCAGAGGGTCCATGAGTTAGAACTTCAGAATTGCTCACAACTCTGCAGTGAAGACAAATCCTTGTATAGTCTACTTTGGGACCCCTCCTTTTCAGATTTGATGTCACCCTGAGGCTCTGGTAGTAGGTGGTTTGAGTGAAAGTCAGCTGCAGGGAAACCAGCTCCCTAGATCTTCAAAGTTGACATTACTTGGAGTTGATGTGATATTGAGGTATACCCACATGAACCTAAAAGTTTAGCCAAAACTGCTGCAGCATTTAAAATGTGTTCTTAATCATCTTTTTAAAATCAGAAATCACTAAATATAAAATAAATCACCCTCAGTGTTTCCTTTGCTTCAAAGCTACCTAGAGGTGTGATTAAATACACCCTGTCCTTCTTTATTGCTTAATTGAGCATTTCTGCACTCACAGGTGAATATCTTACAAACACTGCAAGCATGAATACATAACAAATATTATTTCTCAATAATGAAAGGAAAGATTTGATTGTCATTTTTGTAGTGAAGGTTTTCTTTCCCAGGGTTCTCTGTCAGTGCAAATTTTATGCAGACATAACTCTGTCTCTTTGGCATTTTTTCTTCTTACAGCTCCTGGATTTAGATCTACCCAATGGTTGTACTGCTGGACTGTTACAATAAGCTATCTATTTATGGTAAATCTACCATCCTTCTAATATCAACTCAGAACACCATTTGGGCGCATGCCTAACTTTAGGCATCTGCTTATGTGGCAAGTTGTAAGCTATAAAGCAGGAACTTGGATTGGCAATCTTTTCCATGTTGTTAGTGCTGCCATAAAGCTTTCAGACTCCATCTCTTCCAGTTCAGCACATGCAGAAAGAAACAGAGTATAGTCTCAACCCCTGTGAAATTTTTCTGATTTCCATCCCCTATACCCAAAGGTTACAACCTACAGATCAAGAACCTGAGGCATATAGTCAGCTAAGTCTCTTAATTATGCAAGCACTTTACAGTATATTGAAGTATACAGTTAGGATACTTTTTTCACATGAAGAAATTAAATTCATAATCTGTCTTAAAATTCATCTAAATATTATAGAGACTTGTAATTCTTAATGTGTATTAATTAATAGTATATTGCCTATAAAAGGCTAGTGCTAGGATAAGGACTGGTGGGTCAACTTTTATGTAACATGGAAACATCACATTTTCATTTTTTTATTTTATTCAAACCAGTATCGGCTTATATACTTTGTGCCACAGCAAAACCTATGTATGTCTCATACATACATAGAGCCCAGATTGCCCAGTGGTGATGTTGCAGCAGGAGGATGCCAGCTGTGTGGAGATGGCCTTAGGAGTCCCATCTCCCTGTTATTCTAAGAAGTGTTGGAGTTTATATAAGTCATCACCTCCAGAAACATGCTGCTAAAAGGAATGAATGAGGGGATATTAATTTGACCCAAATGATTATGGTGATTTCATTTTTGGTGGATAACAGATAGGGGAGTTTGTTCTGGCTCCCCCTGTGTTATGCAGTGGCCCCAAAAAACCGTTGTGGATCACAGATTTATGTCTCTTTCAGATATAAGGCTTGGCTGGATCATCAGAGGTTAAAGAAATGGAGAATTCTGGCAAGATTTTTTTTCAGTTTTGAAAGACAGTTCAGCCTGATGTCTCATTTTCCCCTCATTTAGTTGTTTTTGACATTTAACAGAAAAAAATTAGGGGCACTGTCCTTTTGAATGGTTCCCAGAATGATGTTCAGTAATAATATCAGCTGTGAATGAGATGAACTTCTTTTTTTAGGATAGGAATTTTAGAGGGGTGAAGGGGCAGTCTTTCAAGGTCTAGGAGTTTAAACTGGAACAGTTTCAAATTTCTATGCATAGCTCTGTAGATCACTAATCAAGTGTTCAAGATATGCAGATAGATTTCACTAACTGCCTTTTATTTGTTTTACTTATACTTTTTCATTTACAGTAAAAGAATACAAAAGTAAGAATTCTTTAGAGGCACATCATTAACATATACTTGTCTGACATATTTTAAGTTTTGAGACGACTTGATTCCTTAACAAGCATTGGTATTCTGTAGTTGAAATTTATTGTCAAATACAGGGGTGTAGGTTGTAGCCATGTTGATCTAAGGACATAGGCAGACAAGGTTCTTTGGGTGAATCTGATATCTTTTATTAGACCAACTTAAATAGTTGGAAAACAATTATTAAGCAAGCTTTCGGGTTCAAAAACCCTTCATCAGGCTAAGGAAGTTTCAGCAGCTGGTGTGTGCTCTTCCTGGATGGAAT